GATTTTCTTTTTGTGATGTAGAGAATATTCACTTTCTCGGTTAGTCTAGTGTTATAACGTTTAATGCGCTCAAGTTTTACATACGGTACCGTGATATGTCGTAACTATGATAACATTTCGTTCAAATAATTATAGATGAGCAATCGTACAGATCAGGGTGCGTATTCTAAAGATGAGTTTGCAACTTGACTACGGATAAACAAGTCTAATCGTTATTTGCAACTGTTAGTAACACCGAAAGGTATCCCATCGCTGTTTTCAGAATCTAAAACAAGATTTAAGTGATTTTACTGATGAAAGTGAATTATGTATTTTGATAGCCGTGATTAATGAGTTGGTATTTGTACATACGGTACTGAACAGTTCTGTAGAGAAGATGCCAAATTTGCCTGCAGTCAAACAAAGTGGAAAGGTGGACCTGTTCATGATGAATAATACAAGACATTTGGTTTGAGAAGGTGAGACGTTGTATCAATTCGATTCGTACGCGCAATTGCTCATTTCTCTACTCTGAGACCATCCAAAGTAATTTTTCTACTTCCTTCATGAGCCTCTGCTTCATTGGTTTGTTCGTCAAGCATCGATGAATTAAAAATAATTATAATTATCTTGACGTTTGTGAGATTTTCGTTCAAAGCTATTTCTGTGTGTTTTTTTTTAATATTAATTAAAAATCAAGATACGTGCGTGTGTCTATTATCTCTTCAAAAAGATGATTGTAAGATGATTATGTATCTATTCTATGATTATTGAAAGTATTGTGTTCACATTTATCATTTTTATTTTATTTGGACAATAATAAATTAGTAATAAGCGATGCTATACAAATTTAATCTATTACGGTTCGGACTTCCTGGTTTATAACACGATTCAGATAATTGTTGATTTCTGAGAGACGAGTCAGACATTAAAACTCGATGCACGATCTCTAATTTACAAAATGTTTCTTAACATCGTCTTTTTTTCTTAAGGAGGACGGAAATGACAGGTTATGCATAATATGAATTATGGGGAACTGCAGAATGCTAATGTCAACCTACTAAAAAACCTCCCCTTATATTCTCCATAAATGCTTTCCACTCTGCTCCGACACTACTAGTGTACTACTAGTCTGACCTGAAGACACAGAAAATCATGTCCCCCTATCACACGCGTGACTGCCACTGACTTACATCGACGCACAAATTTATAAACCAAGCATAAGGGATGCGAATGACGCGAAGATCCTTCCCCTAACTTGTGTACTCACCTGACTGCTGTCACTTCAGACCACATTCTTTCTGTAAACCTTTGCTGATATGTGTGTTGATAGTTTGGTATAAAGTGGCTACAGCAAAAACATTTATGCATTACAAGTATACATGTATCGAGTGGGATCATCAACTCGTTGGCATAGGATCCAGGAAAAATTGTACCAGGCTTCACTAAACTGCACACACGTACATTGTTTTCCCAGCAAGCCGGGAAGTACATGCTCATTTTTTATCTGTACTCGTCAAAGCAAACGGTGACCAAATTTCCTTTGTTCTCAACAATTTTGATAGGAAAAATGTCGATCTGCGAAAAGAGGGAAAAATGATATCTTTAAGGTTTCCTGAGAAGCACTCGTGTTTTCGAAGAATCTCTTTAATAATTAATAATTTCATTACTTTTCACAGTGTCTAATTTTTTTATCTCGTCATTTTAATTTTCAGTGCTTTGAGATATAACTGATCATTTGGAGTAGTATACTGAAATATTCTTTTTGTAACGCTTTTTTTATCAAGCTGATGGACGGTTGTAAAATTTACAGATGTATCGGATCGTCTATTATTTATTTTTCATTGGGTATAAGACAAAAACGTACCCCATCGAGGTTTTTATGACCTGAATACAAAAAAAAAAAAAAATGTTGTTCTGTATATGTTTATGCAAATGTGAGATATTATATTTTCTGATATTTTTTATTATTATTCATCTTCACACTCTGGATAAATGATGTGCATTATATATTTTTCTAATCTCTGCTCATTCCGAAACTTGCTTGAGAATATTGTCACATCTAAAGGCTTACACACATCTACTTATTTTATACCTAAGCTAAATCTTAAACATATAGGGTGTTCACGGATTTATTAGGCAGCTTTTTTCTTAGTATTTTCCAAGTGGTGTGTATTACAAAAAAATAATCAGGAAAAACTTTGGGGTTGGACGGTGAGACGCGTTGTTGGTTATAGTAATAAGGAAACGAGTTAATTCGATTAACTCTATTTACAGATATTTTAAAGTGTAGAATACAAAGTTAATCGCAAGTGTTGCTCGCTTGATGATATTCGTTATAAGATTACGCCATACTGCGGTACTGATACTAATTGTTATGCTGATTAGCTAGACTGATTCGTTGTAATTATTCGCTCGGCTGACTGACTCAATACTGATATTGATTCGTGCGATTGACTGACTGACTGACTCGATAATGATATTGATTCCCGCTGCTGACTGTGTCTGGAGGACATGGCCGTCTATTTATACTGGTCGAGGGGATACCGAAAGGTTGAACTTGTCGCCAGTTGCATATATATATAACATTTTTTTTCTAACCCTAATATTCTTCAAAAATATAGTCTCCATTTTTTTGGTATTTTAAATCTAAATCATTGTTAACTAAAAAATAGTTTTCGACCTCAAAATTTAATATACAATATTTCTTTTTCTGTTTGCGGTGTATGTATATTACATAAAAATATGATTTCCCTCGTTTTTGCTCTTTTTGTATTATTTTCACATACGTAACCATTTATTTTTAACAGTTAAGATGACAAAAGAAAATTTTCTACAACTACTGCTACATTTTATAAATATTTTTTAACTAATACGTAACATTACCTTGTTGGTTATCCATAGAGGCTCCTTTTCCCAAAACTGAATCATCTGTTCTTACGTTGGGGAGCCATTCCGTCGTTTTTCTCAGCGCATGACCCCTTCATGCAGTTAGAATGCGCATTATGATATCAATTATTCGTGAATATGTAGTACAGTGTCATTCACAACTTTATGTCGAAGTAAGTTGAATCTATCATTACAGTTTGGCTGTTGCAAGTATGTATTCATTTGTAATTATTCATAATTTCTTCCACGATACGAGAAAATAAAAAAGAAGCAAGTGATGCCAGCGTTTTTGCAACTCTCTCTGTCAAAATTCACAAGTAAAAGAAATTGGATCACATCGAGCAAATAATCTATGAATAAATACAATTATTACTACAAGGTAACGTTGCCAAAAAAATTTGTTTAGTCGATGAATATAATGCCCAAGAATTCTATAAAATATAAAATGTATAGTTTTGTAAAATTATGTTTATGAAATAGATTGAATTAAATTTGTACCGGTTACATTTATGTGGCATGTTTATTATATTATATTTGTAGGATTAGTATATAAAAATAAAATATAACGTAATTAAAAATTTCAATTCTATTCTATGCGAATTTTTTAAATGTGTAGTTACATGTAATGCCAATACTTTCAATATAGTACGTAGTCCAGTATCAAACTTTCTTCTGTCATATTTTTCACTTAGGGTTTAGGTAGTTCCAGAGGTCTATGTAAGGGCAGTCTTTCCCTGTACGCTGCAGTGATACAACGTATAGATAGCTCTCCGCGACATATCGCTTGCTTTTTATTTGTATCTAGTGGCTTTCTATGTTATGCTATACAAGTGCAAATTTTTTTTATATTAGTGACAGAAATATCATTGTTTTCTTATAATATTATGTATATATAATATAGGATGCATTTTTTTATTTCATATTTTTTCCTTGCAGTAAGTTAAAACGGTGAAGTGGAAACGACGAGGAAAAAACCAAAAGCAAAATCTTTGGAAGACGTGCTTTTTCAACGAAATGTGAGTTTTATGAATATTTCAATGTTTTGATCGTTTTACCAAAAGATTCTTCGAATGATTGTGCAATTCCTTCGGATAAAAGTATTGTTATGGGACTATATGTATCGCAATATGTACTTTTGAACGGATATCAAAATATTTATACGATATGTAACGTGATTTTATAAAATGCTCGGTGTATTGTGTTTTTTTATTGTTACTTCCATATACAAGAACCAATATATTTCAACCATACGATTACGTTACTTTTCTTCGAACAATCAATCCTTCATGGCTAACAATACTGAAAGGTATCCAGCAGACGTTTTTAGAACCTAACAAAATACCACTGTCAATTCTTGAGATCCATGTCTAAATGTGTGTCTAACTGTATGTAAAAATCCATTAGAAAATAATTTAGATGCATGATCGTTTGACTCACAGCATTAAAGAGTTCGAGCGAGAAGGGACTGAATTTGCCAGCTGTTATTTGAAACGATACTTTCGCGCGACATATTACGATAATTAGCGAAATCGCGTTCTTCGGTGGTAAATCGTACCAATCGCACTCGTATGCTGCTTGCCCAACACCGGTACTCTGAAAGTAAATGTTGTATTAGGGCGTGTGGAGCGTTACTTTTGCAAGAAAGAAATTGAACTTTCGTTCTTTAATAAAGTTTTCTATTTATGTATATATAAATAACTCACTTCCCCTAGAAGCATTTCTCCTATATAACAATAAATAAAAAGATGCAGCATAGTATAAATTACGTGTATGATGAAAAACATCATTCCAACTATTGGTACGTCCGCTTGCTCTTGATCTACGGACTAAAATGGAACGGAATGTACATTATATAGTAATTTCTTATCTCGTCGGAAAAATATCAATGTAATATTAACTTCAGCATACAGTTATCATACGATATCCAGTCAGACAAAACATCGCTGTGCAGATTACAGTCTGAATAAGTAACGTGAGATTGAAGCAATCTTCCACGATCACGGCAAACCTTGGATCACAAATGCTTCTTTAAATCCTAATTTAATTAAATTATTGTTTTGCATTTTTCATTTTCCAAATTTATTAACATTTTCTTTTTTTTAAGTAACATTTAATTTATTTTTCTTTCTTCTTTTTTTAATAATTGGCGAGAGAAATACATCTTCTTTTAACACCCATTTTAATAAACGTTTTAATAAACATTTTTAGTTCACTAATAGATCGTTTGTACCAACCTAGATAACAGATTGTGCCTGTTCACAATGAATCCCAGTCGTTCATGGAATCTTGCGTAATTATTATCCTTCTTCGTCGTGTTAGCTAGATCCTCGAGTGCCATTCTAAGAACAGTTAATTGACCGCACAAATGCAACACAAGAACCGCAAGGAACGTGTCGAAGCAAGAATAGCATATCGCGGTTAACACCGTGCCCATAAACTGTCCCAGCCATGTAATCTCGAAATTTGGACTTTTGCTTATGTCGTAAGGAAACGTGGCTGGATGAAGGAGTCCTCCTAGATCGGCTTCTGACGCACTTTGCATATTACTCCAAATTTGTAGCGATATAAAAGCGAAAAGCATGAGATACGTTAGAGTGGAACAGACTATAGATATCATTCGACTAATTTTCGCGTTCTTTAACATCGTTTGACGATCTTGATTTGCGATTGGCTCGTTCCAGTCGTCGAACATTTGGCTGAGTAATAGCGTCAGGGCTAAAGAGATATTAATTGTTATATGTATATTATATTTGTGGATATCGTCACATATTTTAGACAAATATTGACGTGTAGTTGGGTGAAGCATCAGTAATTAGATCTTTGTGTTTCTAGTTAAATTAGCTCACGTATGGCCTAACGTATTGATACTAAAAGGGACAAAATTAAATAAGCTTGATTCAGAATCTTGAAAGATTAATTAACTATGAATATTTATGCATTTATGAGAAATTTTGTAAAAATCTATAGAATGCACATTCATACTGCTACATAAAATATTCCTTAAAATATTACAAGGGTGAAATAAGTCTGCGTTTAGATTTTATTTCTTTAATTAGGTAGATTTGGAAAAATAAATATGTAAGTAAATATATATAAATAAACGTATAAATATATATAAATAGAAATAGAAATATATATAGGTATAATTACCCTTCTTATAATACCGTAGAACGATCTGCTTAACCAATGCAAAGGCGATCGGTATATTAATCGACAAATTTTCGATTATTTCGTCCAAATTAGTTGATTTCAATACCAGATTTGCTGTTTGTGGTGCACAGATGAAAGTAAACGTCACAATAGTCGTAAACCAGAATATTATACTCGAAAGTAATCGTGATCCTCTTGATACTTTTCTCGGTTCCGGCCACACACCGAGTAA